TCGCAACTTTAATGCGTAGCTCACAAAGTAGAATTTTTGCTCAGAGGACTCCACAGCTTAGAGAGAGCACTGGTAGGTAGGTAGGTAGACAGATCCAGAGGAGTTAGCCGTGCTAGTCTGTTACTGCAAAAGAGTTAAAAAGCCCACTAGTACCTTTAAGACTCAGAAACTTGATTATAGCATAAGCTTCCGAGAAAACACAGCTTGCATCTGACGAAGAGAGCTGTGTTTCTGGAAAGCTTCTACTGCAATAAAGTTTCTGTTGGGTGATAGTGAGGTATTGAAAAAAAAATGGTATTTAGCAGAGATACTATAGCCCAGCAGAGCCTGAGTAAAATAATTCAGACTGAGAGTCCATGTGTGAATAAAATATAAAGTTTTTACTAAATTCTAGCATCGGGAAGGGGAACTGGGATGAAAATAACAACAGAGCATAATCGGCTACATCCTTTCTCTACAAAGACAAAACTAGAAGAGAAAGAGTATGGCCGCTCCGCTCGTTCTTCAGAACACCAAACAAAGACGGAAAGAGAAGCCATAAAATGGTAATACACCTTGACACTTTAGTCCCAATCAAATCTCTAGATCAGGGAGAAAATTCCCGGGCTTCCTACAGCTAAAGAACATTGGTTACATGAGAAACATGTGACTTCCTGTGAGTAACATAAACAAACATTTAACCCCAGCTGTACTGAGTGTTTTCAACTTGTAATACCCAACAGTTTCTTAGTCTTGAAAGGTGCTACCGTGCTTTTTACGATTGATCGATTTAGAGAAATAGTGTTGCTTTGTCCCATCAAATCTTTCAGGTTTGGGAGGGAATTAATTCGATAGATGGTGTCGCTTTATCCCATAAAGTCTTTCAGACTGGGGGGGGGGATTACTTAGGTATACAACATTTTAAATCTACCCAAACCTGTTCTTTTCCGCAAATGATTTCCCCACAACAAAAGACAAAGGGGAGGAGGGAGAAGGCAGGTGTTTTACCACTCGTTGTTGGTCTCTTTAAGAAAAGGACTTTAAAAAAAACTTAAAATTTGCTTCTTTGAAACTCGAGAGAAGAAATTATGAAGGGGGGGGGGTTGTTGCGTGCATTGTACAGCACTGGCCACTGACAGTTCTAGACCTACCAGAGAATCACAGAGTTGGAAGGGGTCCCAGAGGCCACCTAGTCCAACCCCCTGGCTCAATGCAGGACCAGCCTAGAGCATCCCTGACAACATAAGAGAACAGAAGAGATGCCCATGTTGGATCAGGCCAGTGGCCCATCTAGTCCAACACTCTGTGTCACACAGTGGCCAAAAATCCCAGGGTCCCTCAGGAGGTCCACCAGAGGGGCCAGAACTCCAGAAGCCCTCTCATTGTGGGGGCCCCAAGCACCAAGAATGGAAAGCATCACTGCCCCAGAGTGTTCCATCTATACCTTGTGGCTAAGAGAACATAAGAACATAAGAGAAGGCCATGTTGGATCAGGCCAGTGGCCCCTCCAGTCCAACACTCTGTGTCACACAGTGGCCAAAAATCCCAGGTGCCATCAGGAGGTCCACCAGCGGAGCCAGGACACTAGGAGCCCTCCCACTGTTGCCCCCCACCGCAAGCACCAAGGGTTTGTCCAGCAGCTGCTTGAAGACTGGGGGGGGCTCACCCCCCTCCAGGCAGCCGACCCCAATCGGCTACCCCTCATCCTTTTCCAGCCTGGAAAAGGCAAACATTGATCGCTGGAGAAAGCCAGGCTTCTGTTTCTGCAGTGTGCTGGGGGGGGGGGAGGCGTATTCTCTAGGGAACCGCGGAGACCTAGAAGCAATGCTCCCAATGTTCCCTGTGTGTTGGGATTTTTTGATTCAGGGTCGATGGTTGTATTGCAAACACAAGAGCCACACTTAGTAAAAGAAAAATATATTTACCAAAAAAACAAAATAAAATATGGGTTTGGTACTTTGGATAAAAGAAATAAAATAAAAGTTACATACTTGCAGTAACTCTCAGTAATATATCTAACAGCTACATCTTTCTATGTCTCTTGGCTTCTAGAAGAGAACTACCGCTTTGGTTCACACAAAGGGCCATAAACCTTGTGAACACATTAATGCTAGATCAAAGCATTTCTACAAACCAGATGTTAGTTGACCAATACAAAGGTTACAGGTCACTTCATTAGGATAAACAACTCCCACAAACTTTTTCGCCGTTGAATACATTATGTAAAGTAACATCCTGTTTCCTAACAAACAACATTAACTGAAGTGACTGAAGTGTAAAAGCAACTTGCAATTCCAACACTGTAGGGTTGGGCGAGCAAAACTTCTACTTTGTGAGCTGCTGCCATTAAAGTTTTGAGCGAGAGATTTGGCTCCTGCATCACTTAGTTTGCTCTGGAGCCCGTCCTTCCCGAGCGAGCCGGAGGCTGAAAAACTGTGAGCTGGCTCACACTCACTCAGCTTAGAGGGAATACTGGCTCCCACTAAACTGTGGAGTCTTGTGAGCAAAAATTCCACTTTGGGAGCTGCTGGCATTAAGGTTGTGAGCGAGCGGTTTGGCTATTGCAGAAATTCGCTTGCTCTGGAGCAATGTTCCCTCTAAGCTGTGGAGTCTTGTGAGCAAAACTTCTACCTTGTGAGCTATGGGCATTAAAGTTGTGAGCGGGCGATTTGCCTATGGCATAAATCAGTTTGCTCTGGAGCCGTCCTTGCTGAGCCAAGACAAAAATGTGTGAGCCAGAGGCTAAAAAACTGTGAGCTAGCTCACACCAACTCAGCTTAGAGGGAACACTGCTCTTCCTGAGTGAAGACAAGAATCTGTGAACCGGAGGCTAAAAAACTGGGAGCTTGCTCACACTGCCTCTGCTTAGAGGGAACACTGCCTAGAAGGGGCAGCCTCGAGTGGAAGGGGAAAACGTCTCTGGTTTTGCTTCCCGCTAGGAAGAGCGCAACGGAGCTTTGCGCAAGATCGGAGACCCCCGGGCGCCTCCCCGCCCGGCCAGATTTCGAGGGTCGGCGCTCTGGAGAGCCAAAGCTCTGGGAATCTTTGTCTCTCGGGTCTCTGTCGCGATCTCTGGGGCCTCCGGCCGGCCTTTCCGGCAGGGGGCTGGGGGGCTACAATGTCGTCGTTCCAACCGCGGAACCCGACAGGGCTCCCCAACAGGGCCCCCGCGGGCACGACAGTTTGCCGGGCCCCACAAGCCCGGCCTGAGATTGGCAGGGGGGAGGTTAGGCTCGTGCGCAGAGGAGGTGCCTTGGGGTGGCCCGGCCTGGGCGGTGGGTTTCGCGGGTGACTCACCGTGAGGAAGGCTGCGGTGCCAGGCCGGGGGGAGGTTTCGTCGGAACTGGGGGGGGCCAAGCAATGCCCCCTCTAAGCTGTGGAGTCTGGTGAGCAAAGATTCTACTCTGCGAGCTCCTGGCATTAAAGGTGTGACCCAGCGATGTGGCTCCTTGTTGGGTGATAGTGAGATATTGAAAAAATGGTATTTAGCAGAGATAAGATAGTCCAGCAGTTCCGGAATAAAATAATTCAGACTGAGAGTCCATGTGTGATTAAAGTATAAAGTTTTTACTAAATTCTAGCATGGGAAGGGTAACTGGGATGAAAATAACAACAGAGC